ACACACCCCAGTGTTCATAGCAGCATTATTTATAATTGCCAAGGAAGTCATCCACAGATGAATGGATGAAGATACACACACACACACTGCTACTCAGCCATAAACAAGAATAAAATTTGCAGCTACATGGATAAACCTGGAGGGCAATATGCTAAGTGAAATAAGTCATAGACAAATACTGTTTGATATCATTTCTATATGGAGTATAAAAATTTCGCCACACTAGTGAATACAACAGAAAAGCAGACTCAGAGATACAAAAAACACAGTAGCGGTTACCAGTGGGGAGAGGTGGGAAGGGGCAATATAGGGGTGGAGGTATGGGAGCTACAATCCACTGGGTAGAAGTCTCAAGGATGCATTTTACAACATAGGGAATATTGCCAATATTCTATAACAACTGTAAATGGAAAGTAACCTTTAAATATTGCATGAAAATTTTATAAATTTTTTGAAAAAAAAAATAAAAGAAAAACCAAAGAAGTCTCTTCATGGCTCCCAGAAGCTTATTTCATATAATCTTAGCCTGGCAGTCAAGATGCTCCGTCATCACTCCCCACAATGAAGAATGCTTTTGAGAATGCCATAAAGAAAACCCACGTTCGCTTCAGAGCTGGAGGTGAGCAAAGCTGAGGAGGGAGAACAGAACGAAAGGTTTCTGATTTCCTGTATTATTTTTCCCCTGTGATAGTAAAACGTGTTAACCACACAATGAATTCCAAGCACAGAGTGAGTGCTCAAGTACATATCCAAATACCGAGGGAGAACCCCAGCCTGGGGCTTAGAAGATCCATTCTTTGTAGTTTTGTGACTTCTACCCCACAGCCTAATTTCTTTGATCTTGGTCATTTTAATTTCTATAAAGGTTAAACAATTTTATATTTAAGCTATTAGCTGTAAAAATTATATGAGAAAAAAGAATATAACTGTTCTGTGAAGTAAAAGTGTGAGTCGCTTAGTCGTGTCTGACTCTTTGCGACCCCATGGACTGTAGCTCACCATCTCCTCTGTTTATGGAATTCTCCAGACAGGAATATTGGAGTGGGTTGCCATTCCCTCTCCAGGGGATCTTCCCAACCCAGAGATCGAACCCAGGTCTCCTGTGATGCAGGCAGATTCTTTAGTGTCTGAACCACCAGGAAGCTATCCTACATATTACTTAACTTTACTAGGTATTATAAGTATTCTACCTATATACTTCATTTTTCGGGATGTTTTGGCTGTTAAGATTTAGGAAGTGTAGCTAATTCTCTGGTAAAAATGAATCTAAAGAAATCTCCGGCAAGTGAATCCTTAACTCATGAGTTATGATAATTGGATTTTAAATTGGTTCTTTCTATAAAAAAATGTTCTATCATTTTCTCTTAGAGTTATTAATGAAAAACCGTAACAATAATTATGGTTGTTTTGCTGTTTTATTTCAGACTAACATCAGACATTTTGAGCTAAAATAAGCAATATCAAATTACTATGTGTTTAAATGATCCATGATTAATTGAAAAATTAAAATTTACAGATGCTTAGTCTGCAATAGCTGTAGATTTCCCTCTCCCCAGGGTACCTGTTGGAGAAGTTTCAGGCGACCCTTAGGTGAAACACATGATGCTGATATGATAAATAAATGAATTTACACTGATACACAACTAATTAAGGAAGCATGGCTTTGGTTTTAATACTGCTCTCCCCAGTGCGACCCACTGAGTCGGGGAAAATACAAAGGATGCTGGTGTTTTGAGATGGGCCTGCACATCAGGTGGAGACGAACCGCCTCAGCAGGAATTTACTGTTTTAAGTTTTATTTTCACAGTGCAGTTATTAAACATTTCATTTGCTCATTAGGTACATAATGTATGACTGCCAGGTGCAGACTCCTGTTAGCATCTCCCTGCAGAGGGGTCTCCTGGGTAAAATAGTTCTTGGTGAGAAATATTAGATTAAGCTGCAGCAGGAATGAAATGTACAGACTCGGCTGGGTCAAGTCCGAGGTGGATGCGTACCATGATTCTGATTTCAATATTAATTTTTACATCCTTATTTACATCCTCCTGTTTCCTGTCTCATTTTCCACTCCTTCACCCTTAAGAGTAAGGTTAAAATGGGTAGCTTTGAGGAAGTCTGAGTGCTTATCTTCACTTTGTCTCACCTATTCTGTGATACTAGACACACACAAGAGCCTCTCTCGATCTAGTTTTCACATGAACCATAATATTATCCTAACATGTGCTCATTAATAAGTAACTGCCCTGTGCTCAGGTTGTTTGGGGGAATATAAAAGTGTCATACAGACGTACACACTTCTCACATGCAAGGAGTTTTTGAGGTTATAGAAGAAATAAGAAATATGTAAATTGAAAACTTTGCATAATATTCCCTACCTTTTCATGTTCACAAAATATTGAAAAGAGAGTAGCTGTATTTACCTAGATGCAATAGCTTCAGGCATTTTTCAGAAGGGATAAAATTTCAAACGTGAAATTTTGGCATCAATCTTAAACATTTGGTTTACTATGTGTATTACATTCAAAGGGGGACAAACATTTAAGCACAACTTCTGGGAATAGAAGCTTTGTGTTGTTCTAGCCTACCTGTTCCTCCTCTAAGATAAATAAAACATTGAGGCTGGGTTAATGAGGGGCCTCTGCCAACCTGACTACCGTCCTTTACTCCTTCCCGTTAAGAAGTAAGGGGAACCACTCTAGGGACCAGTCAGCTGGCTTTCATGGGGCAGCCACTCTGTGAAATGTGGGAAGGTACAATTAATGAACTAATGGTCACTATTCAAGTTTTTAGGCCTTGTCTTTGCTGTGACACAGGCAGTCCCCAACCTTTTTGGCACCAGGGACTGGTTTCATGGAAAACAATTTTTCCACAGCCTGGAGTGGGGAGGGGGATGGTTTGGGGATGACTCATGTGCATTAGGACTTCCCTGGTGGCCCCGGCAGGAAAGCATCTGCCTACAATGCAGGAGACCTGGGCTTGATCCCTGGGTCGGGAAGATCCTCTGCAGAAGGAAATGGCAACTCACTCCAGTACTCTTGCCTGGAAAATCCTATGGATGGAGGAGCCTGGTAAGCTACAGTCCATGGGGTCACAAAGAGTTGGACACGACTGAGCGATTTTATTTTCCTCATGTACGTTTATCATGTACTTTACTTCTATTAATATTGTTATTACATCAGCTCCACCTCAGATCATCAGACTTTAGATCCTGGAGGTTGGGGACCCCTGGCATAGAGGACCCCACATTCTCTCCCTAAATTTTCCAGAGGCTGCATTTGTTAAGGAAGCAAGGCACAGTCAGACTCTAGCAGGGTAGACAGCTGTCTCTCTGTCCTAGTTCACTGCTGGTGATCCCAATAGTCCTGCAGTCAAGGAAGAAGAAGCCTCCCAGCTAGTTCCACCCAGGTATTCCAGAGTGTCATGATTCTCTGGGATACTTGAATCTCATTTGGTTATCAGCATTTTTTCCTCTATTATTTCCATGAACTGGAACCCAAAGAAGGAAAGAGCAACCCCCGCCCCCTCAGGTATTTTCTCTCCCAAAGGCACATAACTTACAATAAAACTTTTTCTTTTTTTTTGCCTAAATTGTCTAATATGCTCGTTAAACCCTTCAAAACATGTTATTGCTCACGTCATGAAGATAGAAAAGTCAAGGTTCAAAGAAGATAAGGAATTTGCTCAAAGCTATTCAGCTGGTAAATGGGGTTTAACTATTTTTTAAAGTATGTGTTCTTTGTTAGACAAAAAAATACAAGTATAATTTTACCAAGTAGGCTTTGATGGAAAGCAAGACATTCTTAGCTTTGGAAAGGAGAGAGTAAGAGTGGAAGAAAATGAGAGAAAACAACAGTGACTGTGTGGGATGGTGGTAATGGGTGACAGAAGAGAGACTAAATTAACAAGTCCTTGCTCTTTCTACCTTCATCCCAGCTAGACCTGTTACCATCTAAGTGGTAAACCAAGGTAAATACAAAGCTCATAGCATCATAGAAATGAAAACTTATGTCTTAGAAAACAGTAAGTTTAGTACATGGGATGAATAGAGACACAGTAGAAGGACCTTGAGTTCACTTCCCCTTGAGAACACGAAAATCACAACTAACAGCTAAACAACCATCTATAAAAAAGATGAACCTAACAAAGATGGACTTCCCTTGTGGCTCCACTGGTAAATAAAATGCCTTGCAATGCGGGAGACCTGGGTTCCATCCCTGGGTTGGGAAGATCCCTGGGGAAGGGAGAGGCTACCCACTCCAGTATTCTAGCCTGGAGAATTCCACGGACTGTATAGTCCATGGGGTTGTAAAGAATCCGCCTGCAATGAGGGAGACCCAGGTTTGATCCCTGGGTTGGGAAGATCCCCCTGGAGAAGGGAATGGCGACCCACTCTGGTTTCTTACCTGGAGAATCCCATGGACAGAGGAGCTTGGCGAGCTACAGTCCACGGGGTTGCAAAGAGTCGGACACAACTGAGCAACTAACATTTCACTTCAACAAAGAAGAAATTCTACATTGAAAGATATAAAGAAGAAACCCAACAGGACAGTAAGAGAGGCACACTATCAACATAATCAAATCGTCCCTGGGTGGGTGAGCCACAAACCAGGGAATAATTAACAGAAATTCTCCCACAACAGTGAGAGTTCTCTGCCTCAGCACCGACCACCCCTGCCCCCGCCCTGAGCTGGAGGTTCTGGTATTGGGAGGAGGAGCCCCAGAGCATTTGGCTTTGAAGGGCAGCAGGGCTTGATTGCAGCAGCTCTCTCAGACTTTGGGAAAGAGAAACTCCGTTCTTGGAGGGCACACAAAAGGTCTCATGTTCACCAGGACCCAAGGCGAAAGCAGCGACTTTGTAGGGAGTCAGGGCGAGACCTACCGGCTGACCTTTGGGGGATCTTCTGGGGAGGCAGGGGGTGGCTGTGGCTCTCTCTGAGGTCATAAAAGCTAGTGATGGAAATACCAGGGAGTGTTCACCTACCTGCACTCCTGCTGGTAGCAGACACCTTGCTTGAGTAAGTAGTGTCAGGACCCGGCCCCATCCAAAAGCCTGCAGGCTCTAGCATTGGGATACCAGAGTCCAAACAAGCATCAGGGTAGAAACATAGCCCTATGCATCAACAGGCTACCTAAAGATTTACTAAGTCCACACCCACCTCTAGGCACGCCCTTTGACATGGCTGCCTACCAGAGGGATAAGAACTGGCGCCACCCACCAGGGGGCAGGCACAGTCCCTCCTGCCAGGAACCCTGCACAAGTTCACAGGTCAGAACCTACCCTGGGACCAGCTGGTCTCTGGCCCTTGGGTGATGAGAGGTGAGTGTACTGCTGGGGCATACAGGACAGCTGCTGCAGAGGGTCACTTCTCCAAGGCTGAGGAACATAACTTACTTTGACTTACATATGCATACAGATAGAAATTTAGATAAAATGTGATGGTAGAGAAATATATTCTAGATGAAGGAACAAGATAAAACTCCAGAAGCACAGCTGAGTGACATGGAGGTAGGCAGTCTACCTGAGAAAGAATTCGGAGTAATTGTAAACATGATCCGAAGTCTCGGGGAAAGTATGGGTGCACGGAGTGGGAAATTACAAAAAAAATTTAATAAAGAGTTAGAAAATATAAAAGGCAGCCTAACGCAAAGAATACAATAACTGAAATGAAAAATACACTGGAAAGAATCAATTGTAGAATAAAGGATGCATAAAAATGGATCAATGAGCCAGAGGACACAGTGGTGGAAATCACTGCTATGGAACAGAAATGAAAAAAAGAATGCAAAGAAATGAGGACAGTTTAAGAAACGTCTGGGACAACATCAAAGACACCAACACTCGCAGTATAGGAGCCCCAGAAGAAGAGAGAGTAAAAGGGCCTGAGAAAATATTTGAACAAATAATAGCTGAAAGCTAACATGGGAAAGAAAAACAATCACCCAACTTCAGGAAGTAGAGAGTCCCATCTAGGATTCACCCAAGGAGGTATATGCCGATGAATCTGAAAATTAATCTGTGTGATACACCACATTAACAAATTGAGGAATAAAAACCATATGACCATATCAATAGATACAGAAAAAGCTTTTGATAAAATTTAATATCTATGATAAAGACGCTCCAGAAATTGGGCATAGAGGGAACCTAACTCAACATCATAAAGGCCATATATGACAAAACTACAGCTAAGATCATACTCAACAGTGAAGACCTTGAAAGCATTTTCTTTACGATCAGGAACAACATGAGGGTATGCAATTTTGCCACCTTTATTAATGTAGTTTTGGAAGTCCTAGAGAAAACAGAGAGGAAAAATAAAAAAGGAATCCAAATAGGAAAAGTAAAGATAGAACAGTCATTGTTTGCAGATGTCATGATACTATATATAAAAAATCCTAAAGATGCTACTAGAAAACTACCAGAGCTCATCAACGAATTTGGTAACCTTGCAGGATACAAAATCAATACACAGAAACCTGGTGCATTTCTAAACACTAAGAACAAAAGATCAGAAAGAGAAATGAAGGAAACAATCCCATTTACCATTGCATCAAAAAGACAATAACTAGCAGTCCTGCCTGAAAAGGCAAAAAGCTATACTTAGAAAACTATGGGACATTAATGAAGGAAGTTAAAGATGACAGAATCAGATGTTAAGATATACCATCTTTCTGGAGTAGAGGAATCAATTTTGTTAAAAGGACCACACAACCCAAGGCCATCTACAGATTCAATGCAATCCTTATCAAATTATCAATGACATTTTTCACAGATCTAGAACAACTAATTTTAAAATTTGTATGAAAATACAATAGACTCTAAATAGCCAAAACAATCTTGCTAAAGATAAATAGTACTGGAGGACTTTTTCCCAAACTTCAGACTATATTAGAAAGCTAGTGATCAAAACAGTATGATGCTGGCACAAAAACAGATGCATAGGTAAACGGAACAGTTTAGAAAGCCCAGAAATAAATTCACACACTTATGATCAATTTGTTTACTCAGAGGAGGCAAGAATATACAATGGAGAAAAAAGTCTCTTCAATAAGCAGTGCTGGGAAAACAGGACAGCTACATGTAAAAGAACGAAATGAGAACAGTCTCTAACACCACGTCCAAAAAGAAACTCAAAATGGATCAAATACCTAAGTGTAAGATCATATACCATAAAACTCCTAGAGGAAAACATAGGTAGAATACTCTTAGACATAAATTGCTTCAATATCATTTTGGATCTGTCTTCTAGAGTAATGAAAACAAAAGCAAAAATAACCAAATGGCACCCAAGTAACCTTTAAAACATATGCATAGCAAAGAAAACCATACACAAAACAAACAACAACCCAGAATTGGAGAAAATTTTTGCAAACAATGTGACTGTCAAAGAATTAAACTCCAAAATATATAAACAACTCAATATAAAAAATCAATCCAGTAAAAAAAAAATGAGCTCCACAGAAGATATGCAGATGGCCAAAGGAACATGAAAAGAAGCTCCATATTGTTCATTATTAGAGAAATTCATATCAAAACTACAATGAGGTATCATTTAATCTCAGATAGAATGGCCATCTTACCTGAGAATGGCCACCATCAAAAAGTCTACAAATAATAAATGCTGGAAAGGGTGTGACGAAAAAGGAACTCTTCAACGTTGTTGACAGAAATGTAAATTGAAACAGTCAGTGTGGAGAACAGTATGGAGTTTGCTTAAAAAGTTAAAAATAGAGCTACCATATTATCCAGCAATCCCACTCCTCTCTATATGTTTGGAAAAAACAATAATTCAAAAAGATACATGTACCCTAATATTCATAGCCACACTATTTACTACAGCCAAGACATGGAGACAACCTAAATATCCATTGACAGACAAATGGTTAAAGATGTGGTACACATATACAATGGAATATTACTCAGCCACAAAAAAGAATGAGTTAATGCCATTTGCAGCAACACAGACAGACCTAGAGATTCTCATACTAAGCGAAGTAAGCCAACAGAGAAAGATATCATATGATATCATTTATATGTGGAAAGTAAAAATAAATACAAATGAACTCATAGACAAAGCAGAAATATACCCACAGACACAGAAAACAAATTTACCAAACGGGAAAGATGGGTTGGAGAGACAAAGTAGGAGTATGGAATTAACAAACACGTAGAAAAGAGACAATCAACAGGACCTATGACAATGTACGCAGAATCCTCAATATTTTGTAATGTGTAAGGTTAAAAATCTGAAGTATTATATATGTATGTGTATATTATATATGTATAAAATTATATAATCAGAATCACTTGGCTGTGCACCAGAAACCCAAGATTTTAAAGAACTATTTAATACAATAAAATTAAAGGAAAAATATAGTACATGGCTGGTATAGTTTGCCTTTGTTTGAGTAATGCTGAGAGTAAAGAGTGTCTTCAAATATCTTCTCTTTTTTGCACTCCTTCCTTTCTGGATACTTCTCCCCACACGTGGCCCCTATATTCTTCTTTCTGTGCACATCCAATATGAGATACCCAGAGCCATCATACAGCCCTTCATCCTGACAAATGATAGAAAATGACCCAATAATTCAACCAGTGACAAACTATTAACATTATTGTCTTTCTCTTGTCATGGGCTTGATTATATTTTAAAGGTAAATCACAAAAAGAACCATATAAGGGATTCTTTTCTACTAATAAGTTTTCTGTCATCATTGCAACTGACTAGGACAGATGTTGGGGAAGGACATGGCAACCCACTCCGCTCTTCTTGCCTGGAGAAGCCTGTGGACAGAGGAGCCTGGTGGGCTGCTGTCCATGGGGTCGCAGAGCCGGACACACCTGCAGCGACTTAGCGTGCATGCATGCATTGGAGAAGGAAATGGCACCCCTCTCCAGTATTCTTGCCTGGAGAATCCCAGGGACAGAGGAGCCTGGTGGGCTGCTGTCTATGGGGTCGTCCAGAGTCGGACACGACTGAAACGACTTAGCAGCAGCAAAAGCAGCAGGGGAGGTGTTTGTGGTTTCTGAGATACCTCTCAAATCTGATATTGATATTTTTTCCATTTCCCTTTTTCCTCTAGACCAGCATTTCTGGCACCAGGGACCAGCTTCATGGAAGACAGTTTTTCCATGCACCCGGGCTGGGGGGTGGTTTGGGGATGATTTAAGCGCAGTACATTTATTGTGTACTTTCTTCTATTATTCTTACAGCAGCTCCACCTCAGATCATTAGGCATTAGATTCCAGAGGCTGGGGTCCCTTTGAACAACTACAAAATAATCCAAAAGTAGTTTGAAATTCCTTCCCTTGAGGAAATACCAAGCTCTAGTTGCTTCGATTATAAAGATACACCTTTTCCTAGTTCTATATATTTGTGGTCTATTGTACCTTCACACCTTTCCAAGCTGGAATCTTAAGTCCTAAAGGTATTGGGCACATCAGAACCTACCCAACAATAATTGAAGAAAATAGTCACGTTTCCAAAATACTGGAGGGGAGAACATGACAACCTGTGTTGGAAAGATGAATTAAATATTGTCCCAGATGACTTAGAATCCGTAAAAATCCTTTATACAAGAGAGGTGTTTATTTTGCATTTTATAATGGATAAAGGAGAGCCTTACAGAGGATTTAAAGGAGCTGGAACTGAGAATGAGTCATTCTATAAAGTCTATGTTGGGAAATAATGACTAAGTGGAGGATGGCCAAGAAGCCCTGAGGGAGAAAAACCCTGTCTAATACGTCCTTTTGTCTTAGGACTTAACATCAGTGCCTAATTTATGCAGAATAGAGCTGACATCATACTTCGTGGAATTCATTCCTGGAAACAAGACTGAGGCAGACCAAAGCAACAACAGGCAAATGAGGATGCAGAGATACTGAACTTATGATTCTACTTGTTCCTTGCCTCTTGATTTAGAAACCCTATGAAATAGCTTCTAGGAAAGTCATCAGTGATCATGAGAAATGAAATTTACCAGAACAGTTCTATCTCTCCTCTCTTCCCCTGATCCTTCTCTGAGGTTCCTAGACCATAAGTTAATAAGATACCAAAATAAACCTGAAAACTACAAACTTTAAACCTCTATGTTATTTATAGGTAGGACCCCACAATTGAAGGTAAAAATGTTGATTGAATATTGCTTCCATTACTCACTTTAAAAGGTCTACTTTGATTTCCTGTGTCCTTTGCATACAATATCAAAGTCAAGAGACTTCTCAGTTAATTTCATGGATATTCCAGATCATTTCCAAATAGTCTGGAACTTTGTATCCTCTGTCCAAATCTATAATTTAATTTTCTAAATTTTCTTAACCAGATTGCCTCAAGCAGCAACAAGTTTGAGCTGTTTATTTATAGTTACTACAATCCAGCTGTTTTGTGCTCCAAGGAAGAAAACTGTCAATTCTGTTTTTCATGAAAACTAGATTTAAAAATCCCTCCTTTATTATCTCATTTTTGATTATATCCTAATGATCAAACTTCAGAGAAGCAACTCTCAATTCATAAGGAAACAAATGACACTGCATACTGTTCTCATATTTCATGAAAACATCAGAAAAAAGGAGAAACACTACAGAAATCCTTCATCAGTCTTGTACAACGTTTGTAATTATGTACTTTGTGTAGAATGTCATCACAGTCCAAATTCACCCACATTAGTATGCAATGATTACAACCAAGGTAAATATTTCATATGATGTATAAGTGTAATAATTTTCACTTTTCAAAAATCGGTTTACTTTGTAAATATTGAAAATATTTCTCTTTGTGAAAATGATCTGATTGCCACAGAGGATTCTGTTTTTATAGTAAAATCTTATTACTCTAAAACAGATATATTAATATCCTAAAATAATTGATTTTTTAATCTGGCTTCATCTTTAGAAGAAGTCATCAAATTATATGCATGCACACACATACTGAGATATACATACACCCATATGGATATCATAATTATGGCCATAAATATAACTTTCAGATTATATTTGGGAGTTAGTACACAACTATTGTAACCCAATATTTTCCAACTATTACATGTATGCCTCTCAGACTGACCAGAACACAACATGATTAGTATTTTCAAGGTACAAGAATATTAAAAAAGCTTCAAGAACTCAATATAAAAAAAGCCCAATCAAAAATGAGTGGAAGACCTAAACAGACATTTCTCCACAGAAGACATATAGATAGCCAATAAACATATGAAAAGATGCTCAACATCACTGATTAGTAGAGAAAGGCAAATAAAAACAATTAAATACCACCTCACACTGGTCAGAATGACCATCAAAAAGTCTACAAGCAATACATTCTGGAGAGGGTGTGGAGAAAAGGGAACCCGCTTGCACTACTGGTAGGAATGTAAATTGATACAGCCACTATGGAGAACAGTATGGAAGCTCCTTAAAAATCTAAAAATAAAACTGCCACATGACCCAGCAATCCCACTACTGGGCATATACCAGAGAAAACTACAATTCAAAAAGACACATGCACCCCAATATTCAGTGCAGCACCATTACAATAGCTAAGACATGGAAACAACCTAAACGTCCATCAGCACAGGAACGGATAAAGAGGATGTGGTACATATATACAGTGGAACATTACTCAGTCATAAAAAGGAATAAAACTGAGTCAATAAAATTGGGTAGAGATATGAATGGACCTAGAGACTGTCATACAGAGTAAAGTCAGTCAGGAAGGGAAACACAAATATCATATATTAATGCACAGATTTGGAATCTGAAAAAACTACCATAGACAGTCTTATTAACAAAGCAGAAATAGAGGTACAGACATAGAGAACGAACATATGGATACCAAGGACCAGATTGCCTCAAGCAGCAACAAGTTTGAGCTGTTTATTTATAGTTACTACAATCCAGCTGTTTTGTGCTCCAAGGAAGAAAACTGTCAATTCTGTTTTTCATGAAAACTAGATTTAAAAATCCCTCCTTTATTATCTCATTTTTGATTATATCCTAATGATCAAACTTCAGAGAAGCAACTCTCAATTCATAAGGAAACAAATGACACTGCATACTGTTCTCATATTTCATGAAAACATCAGAAAAAAGGAGAAACACTACAGAAATCCTTCATCAGTCTTGTACAACGTTTGTAATTATGTACTTTGTGTAGAATGTCATCACAGTCCAAATTCACCCACATTAGTATGCAATGATTACAACCAAGGTAAATATTTCATATGATGTATAAGTGTAATAATTTTCACTTTTCAAAAATCGGTTTACTTTGTAAATATTGAAAATATTTCTCTTTGTGAAAATGATTTGATTGCCACAGAGGATTCTGTTTTTATAGTAAAATCTTATTACTCTAAAACAGATATATTAATATCCTAAAATAATTGATTTTTTAATCTGGCTTCATCTTTAGAAGAAGTCATCAAATTATATGCATGCACACACATACTGAGATATACATACACCCATATGGATATCATAATTATGGCCATAAATATAACTTTCAGATTATATTTGGGAGTTAGTACACAACTATTGTAACCCAATATTTTCCAACTATTACATGTATGCCTCTCAGACTGACCAGAACACAACATGATTAGTATTTTCAAGGTACAAGAATATTAAAAAAGCTTCAAGAACTCAATATAAAAAAAGCCCAATCAAAAATGAGTGGAAGACCTAAACAGACATTTCTCCACAGAAGACATATAGATAGCCAATAAACATATGAAAAGATGCTCAACATCACTGATTAGTAGAGAAAGGCAAATCAAAACAATTAAATACCACCTCACACTGGTCAGAATGACCATCAAAAAGTCTACAAGCAATACATTCTGGAGAGGGTGTGGAGAAAAGGGAACCCGCTTGCACTACTGGTAGGAATGTAAATTGATACAGCCACTATGGAGAACAGTATGGAAGCTCCTTAAAAATCTAAAAATAAAACTGCCATATGACCCAGCAATCCCACTACTGGGCATATACCAGAGAAAACTACAATTCAAAAAGACACATGCACCCCAATATTCAGTGCAGCACCATTACAATAGCTAAGACATGGAAACAACCTAAACGTCCATCAGCACAGGAACGGATAAAGAGGATGTGGTACATATATACAGTGGAACATTACTCAGTCATAAAAAGGAATAAAACTGAGTCAATAAAATTGGGTAGAGATATGAATGGACCTAGAGACTGTCATACAGAGTAAAGTCAGTCAGGAAGGGAAACACAAATATCATATATTAATGCACAGATTTGGAATCTGAAAAAACTACCATAGACAGTCTTATTAACAAAGCAGAAATAGAGGTACAGACATAGAGAACGAACATATGGATACCAAGGCGGAGGGGAGTGAGTGGAAGTGGGAGACTGAGATGGACATATAGACATTATTGATTCTATGTAAAAAACAGATAACTAGTGAGAATCTACATTTTACACATAGTATCAGTAATGTCTATATGTCCCTCTCAATCTCCCACTTCTGCCCACCCCACTCCCCCTTGGTATCCATGTATTTGTTCTCTACTTCTTGTATAAAATAGATAATTAATGAGAATCCGGGCTTCCCTGGTGGCTCAGAGGGTAAAGAATCAGCCTGCAATGTGGGATACCTGGGTTCCTGAGTCGGGAAGATCCCTTGGAGAAGGAAATGGCAACCCACTCCAGTATTCTTGCCTGGGAAATCCCATGGACGGAGGAGACAGACAGACTGCAGTCTTTGGGGTCAGAGAGAGTTGGACACGACTGAGCGACTTCACTTAACGGGAATCTGCTGTACCGCAGAGGGAACTCTGCTCAATGCTCTGCGGGGACGTGGATGGGAAGGAGATCCAAAAGAAGGGGGTATGTGGATATGTACCCTGGAGAAGGAAATGGCAGCCCACTCCAGTATTCTTGCCTGGAGAATTTCATGGAATGCTGGAGCCTGGTGGGCTACAGTCCATGGGGTGTCACGGACTTGGTCACAGCTGAGCACACACACGTGTATGTGTAGCTGATTCGCTTTGCTGTACAGTAGAAACGAACATATTGTAAAGCAACTATACTTGAATAGAATTTAAAAAAAAAAAAAAGGAAAAGAAGGCTCGAAGAAAATTACTTAGTCAATGGAGCATGGCCACACATTTTAAAATCCTTTTCGAGTGTCTTAAGAGTTAAGTTGCATCACCACCTCCACCCTAGGACCATGTCTGCCATAGAATACTGTGAATACTGCAAATAAGTGAATACTGCCGTTTTCCCCACTGACTGACTGCTTTCCTGCGTTTGCGATCATACTTCCAGGGCTTGTCCACACTTGCACATCATCTGTTTACCTATTCCCCATGACTCTCTGGTCACCTGGCTCTTGCCCTCACTAATTTATAGAAATGTCAGCTATCAAGGTCATAAACACCTTCATAATGTTTCAGCCTAATGAGTATGTGCCCTCTAAACGTTTCCATGGGATTTGATAGTATTACATTCCTCACTTCTAAGGCTCACAGCAATTTCCCTGAAATCAGAATGCTTCTTCCAAGTGATTTTGTACAATTATTATAGTTTTCATTTTCCCCTCTAAAATTATACAGCTAAATCAGTGGTGCACTCCCTATGCAATGACATCTTAAATACATGCTGAAGTGTTGTGGGCTATAGTGAACTAATGTCTGCGATTTCTTTTGAAATGCAAAAAAAAAAGAGTAATGTGGATGGATAGAGAAATAAATATGTGGCAAAGAAAATAAGTGAAAGTTAATTGTAGAATCTCGGTGGTGGGTAAATTCATGGCTTTCCTGGGCATTTGATATTTTTATAACAAAACAAATACCATATTAACACATACATGTGGAATCTAGGAAAATGTATAGATGATCTTATGTGCAAAGCAGAAATAGAGACACAGATGGAGAGAACAGATATATGGATACCCAGGGGGAAATGGTGGGGATAGGAAGAACGGGGAGATTGGAATTGAAACATATACATTAATGACACCATGTATAAAATAGATGACTACTGAGAACACTGGATAGATAGCACAGGGAACTGGACTTAATGCATTGCCCTGACCGAA